GTCTCATCAGAAACTTGAGCGGTTTTCCCCCACTGCCTCCTGCACATAACAGCAAAGGTCCGTCCCTACGTTCTAACCACAACCTACCTTTCCTCTAAGAAAAATGATTACTCTCCTAACTTTTTAATCTCTCCATGTTTATGCACACAACTAGATTCCTTTCCTTTGTGTACTACTGAGTAAGGAAAGAATGTGCTGGCCACTGTGAATTTTATGTCTTGTCGATTAATGTTTAACATTACTATTCAGATAGAACCTATCTTAGAAATGATGATAATATTAACAGTGTAACAAACTACAGTTGGAGCAGTAACCAAAATACAAAAGTCGTGATGATAAGGACTGGTGTCGTCTGGTTCACCATTCACCATTGTACCCCAATGCCCAGCATAGTTCAGCACTCACAAAAAATGTGTTGGAAAAAATGAGTGAATGAATGGTTGCCATATTGTATAGGGTAACTTGTATAACAAAAAGACCCAAAAAGCAATGTTTTGAACACAGTAAAAGTTCTTTTTCCCTCGACAATCTAAAACAGGAGTTTAGGGCCCAAGAGAGGAGTGGAGGACTTGCTCCACGCAGTTTTTCAGGGACCCAGGCCAACTGCCTTTGTGCCATCTTCAGCAGGTAGCTTCCAGGGCACTGTGGTGGTTTTGATCTCCGTTCCAGCTCACAAAAGGACTGAACATCGAGGAATGTACCTGGCGGGTCAGTTTATGGGCCACACCTGGAGGCCACACCTGGAAACCACACACATGGCTTCTCACATCCTGTTGGAGAGGAGTTAATCATGTGGCCATAGCTAATTGCAAACGAGGCTGGGAAATGTGTGGTTGCTGGGCATGTGGCTACTTAGCTACCATAGAGGAAAAGTAGAATGGATTTAGGTGGGGCCAGCCCCGTGGCTTAGCGGTTAAGTGCACGCGCTCTGCTACTGGCGGCCCGGGTTCGGATCCCAGGGGCGCACTGACGCACTGCTTCTCCGGCCATGCTGAGGCCGCGTCCCACATACAGCAACTAGAAGGATGTGCAACTATGACATACAACTATCTACTGGGGCTTTGGGGGAAAAAAAAAGGAGGAAGATTGGCAATAGATGTTAGCTCAGAGCCAGTCTTCCTCAGCAAAAAAAGAGGAGGATTAGCATGGATGTTAGCTCAGGGCTGATCTTCCTCACAAAAAAAAAAAAAAAGAATGGATTTAGGTGGACAGCTAGCAAGTTCTTCCATAGACATCTGCTTACAGTACCAGTAGTTCTTTTTGAATATGGATTAATTTATACAGTTTTAAGCAGTAAAACATAAAAGGTACAAAGGGTACAAAAATAAATTCAAATATGCCATTAATCCCTTGTTAATGAGAATATGTCAAATATTCTCCTTGTTGTAGAGATCAAGGTTAGAATAATGAACCTGTTTTGACTAGCAGTGTTTCACGCAGCCTTCAGACTGAGCTGTTTGTACATTGAGAGAAGGTATTTTTTTAGTGTCCTCTATAACGGCTTTGTCAACATTTTACAGTTTTAGAAGACAAATTTGTTTTTGCTCCAAGTGTTTTCAAGTGCTTCAGTGGTCAAACAGGTTTTGAGCCTAGGTTTCAATGCCAAAACAGAGAGGGGGCCAGGGTAAAGAATTGGAAATAAATTCCACAGTCTAAAGCTAATTTTTTCAAGGCTTTTGCTCTTTTTACTTTTGAGGTTAGTTTTATAATTGAAGAAGGTGGGTCTTAAAATTCAGTTCCTTCTGACACCCAAAAATTGTACAAATAAATTATAGTAAATCTCTGTGTTTTGAAAGTCCCTGGTAGCACTTAGCTGAGGCAGAACTTTATGGATTATAAACTAGACTTGATCTGTTTTATTTTTTTTAAAAAAATGCAATTCAAAAAGCAATTTTATTAAATTACACTTAAAGTGTAATTTAAAGTCATAATCTTTTCTTTGCTATTTCTGAAAATTACCTATCACTTTTAAAAGATCCTAACTTTATAAGACTAATTAAAATAAAAGTTAATGCAATAACACATTTTGTAAGAATTACATTACTTCAACCTTTCATAAATGAAAACATTAATGAACTACTCTTTTACCACATCTAGAGAAGCGTTTGGGACATAAAACAGTTCAAACCTTCCAAAGACATTGAGTCAGTATTTTCTCATAAGATAAGTACTACAGAACATTTGAAAGTCCAGTAACGTACTTCTCGTACAATGGAAGCATTCTACATTTCAGCCATTATTTTGACCTGTACATTCCATTGTCCCCTTCCCCCATCTCAATGAAGAGGGGGAATTGCTGATTTATTTCTTCATCTTAGTCTTCCCTCCCTAAACCTTAGGCAAAGGACGGAAATTAGAATTTATCAAATGTTTTGCACCCATGGAAATAGGTACTTCTGTTACTGTGCTCATAGATCTTTACTACCTTCGTTAGTTCCATTCTGAAAAAACTGGGGTAGGTTGCCAGTTGTAACACATTCTTCACATGTCCCTGTTTCCAGAAGGTGTAGGGGCAACCCAACTACCTCAGCAAAGGAACACTGTGCACTTGCATGTGGCTTTAGTGAAAGCAGACCATGAATAGTCAACAGTCTCAAATGCGTGGAGGACAACATGAAAATTGGGATTCTTTTAAATCTTTAGAGAGGAATACTGAACAATATTGAAAGTCACCCTTTATCAATGGCATCTATGAAAACTCAGATCCTTTGAGAGTTCTTAACCATATGGATCAAACATTTTTTTAAAAGTGGGATAGAGGAGGGGGTTGAAGAAGTTATTGCTTGTTTTAAACCTGGAGATCAGCTAAACTTTCTCACATTTCGCAACTGCTTTTTGCAAAGCTTTCTATTGTATAATGTAACTCTCTTTTTTCTGTAATTCTTGAAACCTGTATTGATTCTATCTTGGTTTTTTTCTCTTTAGGAAAAAAAAAATCAATCTTCTAACACCTTCTAACTGAAATATCTTTAAATTTATATAATGCTATTATGGTTTATTTTCTGTTCTCTCTTTCTGAATATTTCTTAGCCTTAATCTGAAGATTTTTATGTCCCCTGAAATAGTCATTTGCATATAATTATAAATGTATTTCTTTGACATTGTATTAAAATGATTTGAAGGTAAAGGGTTGTGCCTTCCCTAGGAATTCACATGTCAGAACTTCAGGAAAACCTAATGCTATTGCACTAGATCTTACACTAAAGATTTTGATAGTCTATTGAAGATTACCAATGAGAACAAACAAAGATTCTTTGTTATAGATATATCCCTCTTTATCAGGAAGATCACATTCAGGAAGTAAGAGTAATTGTGCTTTGGTTTAATGAGACCCATTTTAGAGAGGCCTCTTCTAACTCAAACTGTAGAGGTATAAAAATGTAACTATAATTGAATGTTGTAATTATTTTTGATTTCTCAGATCCGTTCTAAAATTATCTATGTAAATTATCGAAGCATGTAAATCGATGTTCAGTCATGGCAGATACAAACACTGTCTTTCCAGTTCCTGGGACATTGTCTTAACTGTGGACAAATAGTAGTAAAATATTTTCCTTGGGGATTTCATAGTTTTAGAAGTAATAATAACAACGTCAACAACAATAGCTAATATTCATTAAATGTACCAGGTATTATACTAGTGCTTTATGTTTATTATCTCATTTAATCCTCGTGACCACCCTATGTTAAGTATTGTTGCCATCTCCATTTTCCAGATGAGGGAACTGAGAGTCAAGTAGAGTCATACAGTTGGTAAATGATGGAGCTAGGTTTCAAACTCAAACATTCTGACTCCAGAGCCACCATTACAACTATTATGTTATGCCATCTCCCTTTGTTTCTATTCTTGGATGGAGCCTAGGGTTTTAAACTTTAAGAATTCCAGACAAGTTGGCCAAATCAACAAAAATGGAAATAATTCATCCATCTACCAAGCCAAAGATTAGTTATCCACTCTAATTATATGTTTATTTTGTGGAGATTTTTGTATATCTTAATTTCATGGGCTTATTATGAACCTTAATCAGATTTACTTTGCAAAGGGTTTTTCATACTGGGAAGTTATAAGTATGTAGATGAACACATGTTGCTTCAATATGTGTTCGTCCTTTATTTCAATGACACAGAATGGATGGATTGTGCTTAATGTCCTTTTAATGCAGGTGTGAATCTTTAAGTTCAGTGAAATTCAGGTCCAAATCTCCAAGGCAGCTATGTTTTTCAATCTACTGAATGTAAATGTGCTTTTGTTTGCTTATTTGTCATCTTTGTTCATGGGGATGGCTTACTTGTTCTGTGTTCAGTCATCTGAATTGTATTTAGGAAGCATTGCCCATTTTTAGAGAGGCAGTCAAAAAATCTTACAGATATGCCTCTGGTTAAGGATTAAGCCCCCTTGGTCAGCCTGAAATACATGCTATTCAATATAAGTTTCCTGTTTATACTTTTTCCATGTTGGCTAATATAAAGATTAACATAAAATATCACAGAAAGAAAGGTTCTTAAGTTAACTCCATTTCTTTTCATGGATATTTTACAGCTTAAGTATAAGCTGCATATTACCCCAGATCATATTGGCAATATATACAGAGAAGATGTTAAATAAGGAATGAATGTTACATTAGTTTCTGATGAGATTTGAGGTCAGATTCCTAAATTCTAGTTCTAATGCCACCCTGATATTCTGTCAATCTGGGTTTTGCTATGTTTACCTATAAAATGGGGATAATACCTAACAAGGACATCATAGGGCAGAATGACCATTTCTTGATGCTTTCAGAAATCTTCATTAAAGGGATGATAAAGTTCAACATACAATTTTATGCAAGCAGCATATAATAAACTGTCATAATTTTACTAGTTTTAACAAAGATAGAAATATGAGGACTGGAATTAACTTATATCTGCATATCATCTGATTTTTCTATGTTAAAGGAGGATCTGTTGTTGGATATTTCTTACCATTCCTACTGGGCAACCAATGATTTGTTTTGTTACAGAATATGGAAAGTCTCAATTCCACACCATCTCATGAGAGGGCTGGACCTGATGATGATGAACTGATGTCCGATGAAAGGTAATTTTAGAATTTTCTCCTCACATTGTTTATAAGAATATGAATAGATTTGTTTTTCATTTAATGCAATGTGCATTATAAGAACTAAAAAGAATAGAATTAAAGGACTATATGTTTACCAACAGTATTTCATAGCAAGGAAAATGCTTAGAATGGAAAATCTATCACGATGCTGTAAAGGAAAATAACCATATTCTTGTTTGTGTTTCTAGTTTTGTTTTATTTTGATAATTTTTTGTTTTGTTTTTGATTTTCATAAGAATTTGATTTAGAGATACTCAGCCTACTTTTAAAATAAATTGAATCATAATTTCAATGGATGAAAAACATTGTTATAAAACAGTGACATTTTATGATATTTTATTGTTGTTGCTGTTGTTTATAGCAAAGAAAATGAAAAAGGTGGCGGACACACCCAGCATTTTGAGGTGAGTAGCTAACGATTAAGACTGTGACTGTGACAGGACGGTCGTACATTCTTGAGGGTACGTGTGAAGTATTATTAGCTTGTCAGTAAAGGATAATGAGATTAAGTGACAGGACTGTGACTGGTTAGAAAGGCAAGTATCGAGATGCAAAGATTCCTTGAGAAATCATAAGAACTCCACTCTTTTGCTTTTTAAATTCTTTTATTTTGCTTGTGAAGATAAACTTCAATAGCATGGAGATTTCTCTTTAGATTTTTCCATAAAATGAAACAAACAAAAAGCCAAAGCTACTGGTTTGATTTTTCCATGATTTTATGCACTTTTTAAGTGATTGAAATAAATAGGTAGTGAGTTTTAGTGGATCTGTCACAGGGATGGTCTCATTAATTTTTAAATTAACATAAAATCAGCTTGAGTTATTAAATGCAATTCGCTTTCTGAGTTTTGTGTCTCATTTTAAGTAAACAACAGAGAAAAAACATGTAACTACCTTATGTTGTCTCTATCTCGATGTCCCACTTTCTCTGCTGGCCTCCCTGCTGACCTCGGTGTTGGGTTTTCCTTGCCCCCGACTCTAGTTTCCATTCGTTGTGTTCAACCTCAGTTTTCAGTCATGGATATGTATGTAATCTACTACTGCCAAACGCTGCCCACTGCACTGCAGTCTTATTATCAGCTTTTTGGGGGGCGAGAATGAAGACTTTTCTCAACCTGTTCTTGGATTCTGACTCTTGGTTTATTAATTATACATAGAACTCTCCCTCTAACCCAGTGAATCCTAATCTTTGTTGGGCACTGACCTAATTCACTGAGGGATTTATTCAGTAATATATATTGAGTCCTACTGTGTACAGGTACTGTGCTAGGAGCTGGGATTTAATAACAGCTATAGTCCCTGCCTGCATCAAGTTTTACAATCTAGCAGATTAAGAATCTGAAAGCTGCAAGCCCCCTTCTTAGAAAAACGCACACTCACGTAAAATTTGGCGTAAAGTTGCTGGAAATTAATGGCCACCCCCTCCCCAGTGCTGTGGCCCCCTCATATTTCCTCTATTCACTTCTTGCCATGTGTACTTCTTCATTAACTGAGCCAGATACTAGGAGGGGAACGCTTCCTCTCCCTGACTTCATGGCTTCTGAGCCACTTCTTTGATCTGTTATTGCCAACTGGTCTCTGCTTCCTTCCTTGGGACCCAGGCTACAAGCTGACATTCTTTCCTTGTCTCTAGGCACTGTTCTTCAGAGCACAGTTTCCCCATGATAGTGTTGTTTTATTTTTCTTCTCGTTTCATCCTTCTCTGCTCTTCCTCTGCTCACAGCGAGAACCTAGTCATCATGCCACTGAACGTGACTTTAAAGAAAATTGCTTTGTCGGCCTCCTGGAGAGGTCTTCTCAGTTCTTCCCTTTTATGCTTATCATCCTCAATGAGATAAAAGGGTGTAGAGCAACCTTTGTGGATGGACTTCATAACATTAACTCATAACTTCCAAGTGGCACCCAAACTAAATCCTTGCTGAACTCAGTTTGCCTTGGTGTTTTTGTGGACAGCCCCATGGCAGTGGATGAATCATGGGGAAAGAATCTCAAATCCTTCTTCCATGTGCCAGGACCTATTCTTACATGTGTCACCCATGTGCATTTACCAGGCAGGACCCAGTCCACTGTTGGCACTCAGTAAGCACTCACTATTAATAATCATTGTCGTCATAATAATTTCAGCTAGGAGATAAAATTAGGTGGTGAGTTAAAATCTAGACTAAGCTCTCTGTGTCACCTTTCTTTCACAATTGCCCTGAAGGAGAAAAAAGCCATCACTCCACAAGATTGGGATTGTGTTTCTCCTCATGAAGGCGTGTGCTGCTTTCACTGAAGGAAATATATTTTATTATTATTAATGAATGTATTATATGATTAATAATATATGATTAATAATTCATTATTAATGAATTAATGTGAAAATATCTGTCTTCCATTTTTAAAGCTCTTTCCCTACTTACAGTGTATTGTAATTTCTTACTTTTAATATATGTAGCACTTTCTGGAACTTATTATACAACCCAAATAGTTAATATGATTTTCTGGTAATACCACAATAATTCCTAAATTTCAGAGATGAAAACTAAGTCTACAATTCTGTTTAGCCAGTATTTTTTTTTTTTGGTGAGGAAGATTCACCCTGAGCTAACATCTGTTGCCACTCTTCCTCTTTTTGCTTGAGGCAGATTCGCCCTGAGCTAACATCTGTGCCAGTCTTCCTCTATTTTGTATGTGGGTCACGACCACAGCATGGCGTGGTGTAGGACCACGGCCGGGGACCGAACCTGGGCCGCTGAGGTGCAGCACACTGAGCCTAACCACTAGGCTGTGGGGCCAGCCCCTGGCCAGTATTTTATTTAAGTCTCATATAACATCAGATTGAGATGCCAAAATTTACATGCCCTCTATGAATGGATATGATCATTTCATTTTCAATTAAGGCAGATTTTGTCCTCATTAATATTGTCCTTGAAACTCTCAGATTCATACAAGATAACACAGCAAATGACAGCTGTTGGGGAACGGTGGTTTGTCCTTGTTTTGACTAGTATTTCCATTTGAATGAGGAACATTCCATTCACCTTCAGCCTCAGAAATGCTCCTTAGAGGGACAGATGGGCAGGGAGAGGCTCCTCTTAGAGTCTGCTTCTCAAAGGCAAATGCAGGCAAACTGTGACTTTATTTTTTAAATCATCATTTTGCAGTCTTAAATCTGTTTTTGTTTGAATGAATGTGTTGAAAAGTGAACATGGGTTTATCCTTTTGTGGCACATCTTTTTAGTTTCTTTTAATTATGCAACTAATCTTATCCAAAAAGAGAGTTCTCAGATCTTGGATGGTCAATCAGAGTTATCTATTTTCTGTTTCATCTGAGTTTGTTATGTGGTTTGTATTAAAATTTGTTTAGGGGCCGGCCCCATGGCCTAGTGGTTAAGTTCGGCGTGCTCTGCTTCAGCAGCCCAGGTTCAGTTCCTGGGCGCGGACCTACACCACTCATCGGTGGCCATGCTGTGGCAGCGACCCACATACAAAATAGAGGACGATTGGCACAGATGTTAGCTCAGGGCAAATCTTCCTCAGCAAAAAAGAAAAAAAAAAAGTTGTTTAGTGACATATTGGCAGTGAAAAAAAAGTTAGAGTCACTTCAAAATGCCAAAAATTAAAGTATGATGTCTTCAGGTAGGTTTTGGAAAGGCTGACATTTTAATAAAATATCCTGTTTGGGCTGTATGAAATGAGATGACATAAGGAAGAACCCAGCGTGAGGTTCCCTGAGCATGTGGAGTCCAGAGTCTTTGTTTTTTGTTTGTTTTTAAATTCAATTAACAGCTGAAATTATCCAGAAGAGAGGTTATCCTTAAAGCTAGCAATTTCTAGATTCTTAAAGATATCACTGAAAACACAGATTTTCAGAATTCTGTTTACAATGGAGTTCATACCTTACACTTCAATTTGATTCCTTCTGATAAGTTATTTTCTACTGTGGAAATATTTTATGCTTCTGTGTAAAATCCAGAATATTACAACTATAACCTTATACTCGATCTCTTTGTCAAGAAAGCAAAATCTGTAAGAATTATTAACTACATTGAAGGGTATTAGATTATCTGGGAGAGGTTATTTTATGTCAGAAATATAAAGTTAATGAAGTGTTAAATTCTTTCAAGATATTTTTACATTCTTTATGCTTTCTAAGCCTACTGCTTAGGAGAGCTTAGAAGCATACCTTTGATAACAAATAAGACATTCATAATAAACAAAAAAGACTATTTCCCTTTTTCTTATCCTGCTGTAAAAAAAAGAAGAGGAGGAGGAGAGAGAGAGAGAGAAAGGAGAGAAGATAAGGCTTTCCAGTCAAGACTGAGAATTAATATTAATGATCACAAGATCTTAAATGCAGGCTTTTGTTTGCCCTAAGAAAGTTTGAGATGGATTCTGAAATATCCCATCAACAAGTATTTATGAAATGGATGACTCTGTTATTTCAGCTTCAGTGTATTTCATGGAAGCTTTAGGATTTTGTTATTGGTTTTAATATTAGAACCAGAAAACTTAAAAAGCTCTATTTATTTAGATTCACTTCCAATTCCGTCCAGTCTCAAAAGATTACTGAAGCTTTGCAGTTCACATGGATTTTGGAAATTTGTCCATTTTCCTTTATTGTCAGGCCAAACAGTAAATGTTTATGTTCCATGTGGTTCTTCTATTAACACTGTGTGGTTCCTTCCTGTGCAAACTGCATTATACAGTACACTCTCTGATATTGTCATTGCTGGCTCTGGTAAGCTCTTAGTTAGGCTACTTATTCCTATCCTGTGCAGGGAAGAAGGAATGGAACAAAAATTCACCAACTATTTGAAGCCAAGGAAGGAGCAGGATCAATAGAGTCTGGGGATAGAAAAAGCCAGGCCCAGCCAGACAGGGACAAGTGTTGACAAAGATCAGATGGATAGACTTGTAGTTAATGGTGCCTTGACCTGAATGAGGAGTGTCACCTGAGGCCACAGGCAAGGTGAGCTCTCTGTATTTGCTCCCTAGCATCCTGTGTATTTCTTTTAGAACATGAATGACGCTTGGCACTTAGATGTTCAATGTCTCCCTTCTACACTAAATCCCATTATCTTGTGTTTTTTTTTTTAATTGAGATATAAATGACATACAACATTTTATTAGTTTCAGGTGTACAACAGTGATTCAATATTTGCATATATTACAAAATGATCACGTCTAGTTAACATCCATCACCATACATAGTAAATTATTTTTTCTTGTGACCATTATCTTGTTAATTTCTGTAATTCCAGTGCCTAGGATATAGTATGTGTTCAATAAACACTTGCCAAATGAATGAATAGGAAAGGGAGGTAAGGTATAAATGTTAATAACATGTCTTTTACAGTTACTATGGGCTAGCTGTTTTTATACGTTTTTCATTTAATCCTCACAACAACTTTATGAAGTC